CCAGGGACCCTCCTGCCGCCTCCGGCTGCTGCTTGTTTGTGCCACCCCGGCTGCTTGTTTGTGCCACCCCGGCGGGTGAGGAGCCAGCTAGGCCCCAAGAGTCCTGGTCCTCCTCCCGCCGGGGTGGAGAGCCTGGGTGGCTGGGCAGGGCGGGGTTCTGCCCTGGGGCTGTCAGGGCCTTCCTGGGCCCGGTCCTCACTCAGAGCAGGGGAGCTGTGGGAAGAGAGTGTATCCGCGGCAGCCCCTCCCTCTCCTTCCCGGATGGGAGGTTGGGGCGCCTCTGACCTCCTCCCACCCTGCCCACCCCCTCCAGCCGCCCAGGAGGCCCGCAACAAGTTTGAGGAGGCTGAGCGGTCCTTGAGGGACATGGAGGAGTCCATCAGGTAGGGGGGTGGGTATGCGGCCACAGCAGGGCCACATTCCCACCTGCCACACCGGAGGCCTGCTGCGGAGCTGACTGCCCGGGGAAGGTGGTGACGGGGAGTTGCCGAGGCTGCCTCTGTAAGGCAGGGGTGGCTCCTGCAGGGAGGGGCCCCAGACGGTGGGGAGCCTGAGCCCAGTCCCCGAGTGGCCCTCCGTGGCTGGAGTGGGCCTCCCTGTGTGGTCCTGAATGAGGCTGTGGCATCCCCAGCTGCCCCTTCACGGCTTGGCCCCCCCCCTTCCAGGAACCTGGAGCAGGAGATTTCGTTTGACTTTGGCCCCAACGGAGAGTTTGCCTACCTGTACAGCCAGTGCTACGAGCTCACCACCAACGAGTGCGCGCCCCCAACCGGGCCGGCAGGGCAGGGGCGGGGAGGGCGTACTTCTGGGGTCCTGCCCGAGCCAGGGAGAGGACACGGGGGAGCGAGGGGGTGGGCTCACGGGCAGTCAGCACAGTTCGAGGTTCCTATGTGCCCTGTGTGTGGGCGCACGGAGGAGGCTGGGGTCCTGTGTCCCCTGCCCACCGTCCCCTTCCTGCGACAGGTACGTCTACCGGCTCTGCCCCTTCAAGCTCGTCTCTCAGAAACCCAAGCTCGGCGGCTCCCCCACCAGCCTTGGGTGAGTGGGCTTAGACTGGACCCCCACTCCCCCAGCTCCCCAGGCCCCGCCAGCCCCGCCCACCCTCCCCACCCTAAGCACCCCGTCTCCCGCAGCACCTGGGGCTCGTGGGCTGGCCCTGACCACGACAAGTTCAGCGCCATGAAGTACGAGCAGGGAACGGGCTGCTGGCAGGGCCCCAACCGCTCCACCACCGTGAGTGCCGGGGGAGTGTGGGGGGCAGGTGTTGCGGGGGCCCAGGCCCACCTGAGCCCACCTGAGCCCCTGCCTGCCCATCCCAGGTGCGCCTGCTGTGTGGCAAGGAGACCGTGGTGACCAGCACCACGGAGCCCAGCCGCTGCGAGTACCTCATGGAGCTGATGACGCCGGCCGCCTGCCCGGAGCCGCCGCCCGACGCGCCTGCAGACAGTGACCATGACGAGCTCTAGCCCAGCTGGGCGCCAAGGTGGGCAGGGAGCTGAGGTGCCCTCCTCGACTCGGGGCTGCAGCAGGGTCTGCGGGACACTTCTGTCCCCACCTGTCCACCTCCGTCTCCGTCTTTCTCATTTGGTCCTTCTCTGGCTCCAGAACCTCAAGGCATGGAGATCTCCCCGGCGGTGCCGCCCACCCACCCCGCCGCCTGTGGCCGGAGGCCCCCCACCCCCCCGGTGTGCTCAGCCTCCCCATGGGGGCAGGAGCCGTGTGGAGCTCCGTGACCTGCCGGGGGTGGCACAGCCACGTTCCCAGGCCCCGGCGGTCTCCAAAGGCGGAATACAGGAGTTCGCCCGCCCTGGGCGCCCCGCCCCCGCCCAGGGTGTCTGCCTCTCTTCCTGATGGGGATGAGTGACTTGACCTATGACCTCAAAACAATAAACACCATCCCCCCCCAACCAGGCTGTGTCTGCCTTGCTTTGCTCAGGTGTAAACGGGGCCAGGGATGGGCCAAGGGTGGCATTCAGGAGAAGCGGCTTTCTGCAGATGGTGCCCAGACCTTGTCCCCCATCAGGCTGGCTCCACAGCTGGGGTCTTACCAGAGCCTGATTCACATCTGAGCTGCCCCATGGGCCACGGAGAGAAGTCCAGCACCACAGGGCAGACAGACCCCAGGCCCCTTGCATCTGGGTTTCTGCTCGCACCAGTTGCCCACCCATCCTGAGTCCCAGTTGTGTTGTGGGGAGGCCCCGGGGTTCCAGGTGAGAGCCAGGCCCAGGGAGGGACAGCAGCCTAGGTGTGGCCACACAGCTCGGGCCAGTGACACACACTCCCGACGCTCCCCACCTGCCGGCACAGACAGCTGAGACCATAAGATTCTGAACTTTTATTTTCTGGCATGAAAAGTACAAATAATTAAACAATTCCATGTAAAAGTCTGTTACCGCGGCCAGGCCTGTAATCCCGGTAATAAATAGTCTAAACGCAACGCAAAGTGTTCCTGTTGGGTTTTGGGTTTTTGTGATTTTTTTTGTCTTTTTCTTTCTTTTTTTTTTTGTCTTTTTTTTTTTTTACAGTTCTTTATCACCTCCAACATGGACTCTGTCGTGATTTGAAACCTTCTGAATAAATAACAGGATGAAGGGAGGGCTGGAGGGGCTGAGCCCCCATCCCACGGGCCCTGCCCCTGACCCCCAGGGATGTGGAAGACCCCAGGCCCCCCCCCACCACCGGCCCCTGGGTTGAGGGGATGGCCTCTGGGGATGGGACCTGGCTGGGCTGAGTTCCGTGTTTTAGAAAAAGGAGTCCCCTCCCAGACTTGGGGGTGTCAGGGGCCTAGGCCTCAGTGGGGGGGAGGGTGTGTGTGGGGAGGTGCCCCCTCTGCAGAGCCCGGCTGCCCCAGGGTAGGGGACAAACCCAGCCCTTATTGCTCACAGACGCCTCCTGCACGCTGCCCACGTGTACCCACGTGTCCCTGCGCTCGGAGGGCGGAGGGGAGAGAGCCCCAAGACACAGCAGAGGGAGAGGGGTGGACCCGCTGGGGGTGCCTGCCCTGCTGGAGGGGAGCTGGGAGGTTGGGAAGGACTCAAAAACCACAAGAATAAATAGGTTCGTGTATCAAGAACAAGCTAGGGTTTTTCACCAGCTAAATAGGACTGAAAAAATTCTCAAGACGAGCAAAAAGAATCCCATTAAGACCCCGGACGTCGCTGGCCGCGGGGACCGCCCCACAGAGCACACGCCCCCCGGGCGCCGCTCGGCTACCATTACTGTTATTAATAATTATTATTACTTTAATGATTCCATTTCCCCTTTTATAAATAAATTAGGCATAACCACGTCTCAGCAAAACTTAAAGAAACAAAGAGAACATCGTGGTTCCTTTAAACTTGCAAACTGGATGAAGTAACAGAAATATACACAAATGTCCTTACAGGGCAACAAGGAGAATAAATAGTTAACATAGCAATAAGTTAAAACTACAAGAAGCTAAATTCGGCAAAAAAGTACAAGAAAGTTAACTGGTGCCAGTTTATGTCTTTTTTTTTTTTTCCTTTTTTTTTTGAATCTCTTCTGTGTGTTTTTTTTTTCTTCCTTTTTTTGTTGCTTTTTTCTCTTCTGTTTGTGTTTTTTTGTCACTTTTTTGATTTTTTTTTTCTTTTTGTTCCTTGCAGCAGAAGCTCCACAGACGTTTACTAACAAACACCGGGAGGGGTGGGGGAGAGAGAGCTGGGCAGTCAGATGGGGCCATGGCCGGACACCAAACGCAGGGACCCCGGAGGAAGGGCGACTGAAGCTGACTCGGGGTTTGTAATTCTCAGTTCCGACTGGGCCCGCTGCAGGGGGTGGGGGGCTGCGAGGGCTCCCAGGGGCTCCGGCCTTCGGCTTCTGTTGGAATTTTTTCTTTCTTTTTCTTTTTTTTTTTTTCTTTTTTTTTTTTACAAAGAATGAAAACTAGGGGAATGGAAAGTGTCTGGACTTTCCAGACAGAAGCCGGGGCTGGGGCTCGGGATGGGGGCTGCATCCATGGCCCTCAGGAGTTTGGAAAGACAGAAAAACCCAACAAACTGAAAAGGGGTGACAAGTGGGGGGAGAAGGAATTCGGGGCTGGGCCCCTGGGCCCATCCACCCCGGGGGGGGGGGCCTGGAGGGAACAGCGGGTACTTCCTGCTGGGGAGGCCTTGGGGGAGGGGGAAGGCTCAGGGCCCAGCCTCCCCTCTCAGCCTCTGGGCCAGGGCCTCGGCCCAGGGAGGTTCAGCCCCGGGGACAGGGGGGTCCTTTGGCCTCAAGTGTTGGGGGGGGGCTGCCTCCAGCCCACCATGACGCCAAAAGTGAAACGAGGTATCGTGTGTTTGGATGCATGGATGCTGTGTGTGCACGCCTGTGTTCGTGGGCGGCAGGGACCACTGATGAGCCAGGAGAGAGTTCTGCAGAGAACCTGGGGCCGGGCTGAGTGGGGCCACGCGTCCGGAGGAGACCCGGGCGGCCTAGCTGGAGGAAGTGGACTGGGCCAGGGTCTGGGCTACCACCTCTCGCCTGGGCCTAAGGGATGCTATGGGCATGTCGGTGTCTCCTGGGTGGTGTCTCTCTGCTTCTTTATGACTGGGTGTCTATAGATTTGTGTGTCCAAATGTGTATCTGTCTCTGCTTTCACATGTCCACGTGGAAATGTTCGCATTCTGCATCCACCTGCGGCCGCATCTGCCCACATCGGTGTTTGCCCGTGGCCACAATTGCTAGCCCCCCTGCTTCGGTCTCCTGTGATTATCCACGTGTGTGTCTGCATGTCTGGGTCTGGCCCACGAGCTCCTGAAGGTGTCCGGGGCATGTCTCTGGGTCTGTCAGTGCTTCTGTGTGTCCCTGTGGGGGGTGTGTGTGTGTGTGTGTGCGTGTGTGTGTACGCACGCGTGCGCACATGCCCCCGCGTGTCTTCGCGTGGCTGTGTTTCTCTGTGTGGCCCCGTGGACCCCCGGCCCCCAAGCCCTGCTCCCTGCCCCTGCCCCAGTTGGTAAACATAACCTGCCAAAATATTTTCTTTTTTTTTTTGTCTTTTTTTTGTGTTTTTTTTTTCAAGTTCAAGAATCCCCAGTAAAAATTCTCCACGAGGTCTTTTTTCCCTTTTTACAAAAATAGAGTTTTTCTTCCCCTCCCACCCCCCCTTTTTTTTCATTTTGTTTCTGTTTCCAGCCCCTCCCCCTGCTCCTCACACTCTATCCAGGGGCTCTGGGCCAGGGATGCCCACACCCCTCCTCCGTTTCGTTTTGGGGATTTTTAAACCTGTTCCCCCTCCCCTCAGGCTCATCTAGGTGTTGGGGAGGCCTGGGCAAGGGGGTCTGGGAGGGCACCCCCAGCGTCCCCACAAAGCCATCCCGTGGAGGGTGGTTGAAGGTGGGGTGGGGGCACATCTCTGCTTTCTTTTTAGCCGAAAAAAGAAACAAAAACCATCGCCATGAACAAAACCAAGACGAGAGAGTGAACAGCCCAGCCTGGGGTGGGGGCAGGAAGACGGGGTGGGGGACCCCCAGGCACCCCCCCCATTCCCTGCAGACTCTCCCACCCCGAGTGCTCACCCTGTGGCTTCCGCAGGGACGCGGGGCCCTCGTGCCGTCGGTGGTCTGCCTGCGCTGTCTCTCTCGGGGCCCCTCTCTCTCTTTCTCTCTCTCTCTGCTGCCCGGGGAGGGTGGGGAGGGCGGGCGGCGGCGGCGGCTCAGGCCTTGTGCTGTTTGCTGGTCTTGAAGGACACCTGCAGCACGCGCTCGCCCAGGCGGTAGCCATTGAGGCTGGCGATGGCCATGGCCGCTTCGTCGTAGTTGGTCATCGTGACGAAGCCAAAGCCCTTGCACTTGTTGGTGGTGAAGTCGCGGATGACCTTGACGTTGGTGACCGCCCCGAAGGGCCCGAACAGCTGCCACAGCACACTCTCGTCCGCCTCGGGCGACAGGTTGTACACGAAGATACACCAGCCGGCGCCCGCCGCGCCCCCCGACAGGCCCACGCCCGCGAGGCCGCTCATGCCATCGATGGCGATGGGGGAGAACCTGGCGATGAGCGACAGGGGACTACTTTGGGGGTCACGCGGGCTCTGCCCTGACCCCCGGCACACCCCTGAGCCCCTGGGACCCCTGACGCCGGCCGTGCCATGACCCCTGCGTTGTCCTGACCGTGCCATGGCCTCATGACCTCTGCCTCTGACGCCACCTGAATCTCCATCCCCGCCCTGTAGCCCTGGCCTGACTTCCGACCTGCCCTGAAGGTCAGGCCCTCCCCCACAAGCCCTGCCTGGAGCCCCCATCTACACCCTGATCCCCTGACTTCTGAGCCTACGGGAGTCTGGCCCCTTCCCCACTCCTGACCAACTGCCCCTCTCTTGGCACACTTTCCCCCCACCACACCCACCCTGCCACCCCTCCTCGGCTAGATGCCCACCAGGCGGAGAGTGCAGCTGGGGAAGCACCACCCTCCATGATAACGCAGTCCACTGCCTTCCTCTGCCCCTTACCAGCTTTTTCCTGCTCGGATTGTGTATTTAGGATCCACTCCCCTTTCCCTGCAAGGTTTGCTCCCTGCGGTGCCCCAGCCCAGAACAGCCCCCGAGCGCCGCTGCCGCAGCGGGGAAGGTTTGTTGACTGACTGACAGAGGGACCGAGTGAATGAACAGGATTGGCTCCACCCTTGTTCCTCACTGCCTCCCTACCTTCCCAGGCCTCGCTCAGCTCAGGGGGAGCCCCAGTGGGGAGGAACGGCTTGCTCACTGGCACTTGGTCATGTCAGAGGTCTCACCAGGGTCCCCGTCACCCCTTCCCCCTTCACAGCCCTGTTCGCTGTTCCTGTCTCCTTCCCCACTAGACTGAGATAATGAATAACAGTAACAATAATCACAAGAGCAGCTACCTTTTATTGAGCGCTCACTACGTGCCAAGCACTGTGCTCAATGTCATTTCGACTCCATGAGAGACCAAGTCTGGCTGAGCCATGTTGGGTCCCCAGCCCCGAGCCCAGCGCCCGGCACTCAGTGTGTGCTCAACGGCTCTCGATGCAGTAAACACAGGGAACCCTCCCAGGGTCAGGGATGTGGACAACGTTGTGCGGGCCTCAAGATCCATCCCAGACTAGGGCCTGAAAGGGGGTATTCTGTGACCCTCAGCAAAGACAGTGGCAGATGGAACGCAGACTTAGCGTGGGAACCCGGGGGCATGGCCATGACCAGACCCATGACTGTGACCCCTTCCCTGGGCTGAGAGTGCCCTGGACAGGCCCTCCCAGGCCCAAATTCCATAGTAGCTCTTTCTAGGCATTTACTAGGTTCCACAGCCCCTCTCTTAATGGACACGCTACTCGCAGACACCAGACAGGGGGGCAGACTCAGCTAAGCGGGCTGTCCCAGTGGGGGGGCGGGGGAGGGCCACACTGGGGCAAAAGTCCAAGGAGGGGCAGTGGGGGGCTGGGGGCAGCGGGGCGGGGGCACTGTTACCTCTTGACTCCGTACGCCATGTTGAGCAAATTATCCAGCCTGTGGAAGCAAAAAGGGTGGTCACCCGTGGCCTCTGGGCACACCCCCAGCTGTGACGCTGGCCGGGCCCCGCCTGACTGCCCTCCCCGCCCCCACCCAGCAGGCCAGCAGCCCGGCCCTGCCCCCACCCGCCTGCTCCCCGCCCGGCTGGACACCGCCTGGCACGGAACCGTGCTCACTCGGGCACTGCCTCTCGCCTGCCCTGCCGCTGCCTGGCCTGTACCCGTGTCCTGTCCTACCCAGCCCCACTCGCCTGCCCCCACCCTGTGGGGCTCAGGTCCCCAGAAGGGGAGGTTCAAATCTCTCTGGGGCAGTGTCTAGTCTGGGCAAGTGCCTCAGGGTCCCTGTTCATAAAATACAGGCAAGACAAACTCCGTTCTCATGAGTATAGATACCTGGAGGCAAACAGCGCGGGAGGCCCATCCCCAAGAGCGGGGGGGGGGGCCCCAATCAGGTGACCGTAAAATGCTTTTTTTGTTTTTTGACTCTAAAATTCTTAACACCGAGGGCGCCTGCATGGCTCAGTCGGTTAAGCATCTGCCTTTGGCTCAGGTCATGATCCCGGGGTCCTGGGATCGGCCCCCTGCATTGAGTTCCCTGCTCAGCTGGGAGTCTGCTTCTCCTTCTCCCCACTCCTGGCTTGCACTCTCTTCCTCTCTCTCTCTAATAGATCTTTACAAAAGATAAATAAAACTCTTAACACCGATAGTGCCACTCATAGTGCCCTGCATACGTTGAGTGCCTGCTGTGTACAAGGGCTTGGCCTCAGCATCTGACTGACTCACACATTTCCCCTTTGCTGCCCTCAGTGGCCCCAGCGTGTGGGCACCCTCCCGGTGTCCTTCTGGCCTGCAGGAATGGGGTTCAGGGAGGGTGGCTGCAGGCTTGGGCCCCCAGCATGGGGGGGGGTCTAGGGTGCCTGGGGGCAGGGTGGCAGGGGGTTTACCGGAAGCGCTGTGTCTGATGGTGCAGGGGGCCTGCGTAGCGCCGGGCTGACGACTGGTAGAGGTGAGTGAGCAGGGCCTGCCCAGTCTTCTGACTCGGGTTGTTGGCGAACTTGACGGTGATGGGCTCCGCCGCGCCCAGTGGCTTCTGCCCGTTCAGTCCTTTGATGGCCTCCTCAGCCTCAATCCTCTTGTCGAAGCGGATGAATCCCACACCCCGAGAGACGCCTGCCAGGGAGTGAGGGCGTCATGAGGACCCTGCCCCGTCCCGTGACCCCCTTACCCGTTTCTCTCCCCGCCATCTCCATTTTGGTCCCACCTCCATGCCTTTGCCCAGTGCCCTGCCAAGTCAATCGTCCCCAGCAGCCTGACCTGTGACCTGGTCCACCAGGATGCGAGAAGTGATGATGCGGCCATACTGGGAGAAGAGCTGCTCCATTTCTTTCTGGCTCATGGTCTTGGGGAGTCCACTGACATACAGGTTAGCATCTCGGATGGATGCAGAACTGGGTCGGGCATAGGACACCTGGGGGGGGACGGGCAGGTGGACAGAGGTGAGGGGAAGACCTGTTTCACAGATGGGGAGAGTGAGGCCACGTCCTGACCACCAGCAAGCGGCAGAAATGCCTCATCTGTTCACTCAATAAATATCTCTCAAGTAGTCTCCATGGGTGGCGCTGGCCAGGGCTTGAGGGAGGGGACACGGCTGTGGCCGATAATGTGGCCCGGCCTACATAAAGAGGTGAGGGAAACCTGTCGCTGGGCCCCAGGGGACAGATGTCACCTTGAGGACCTCGAGTCCCTAGCTCCTGCTCTCACACCATACATTCCGTCAACGTGACATTTCCCGCTCCTTTGGAAAGTGAGCTCGGGACTCTGGCCCTTCTCTTTCTGACCACACTGGGGCCCTCAGGGTCACTCAGGTCTTTAGCTGCCAGCTTGATGCTGATGACTCCCAAATGTCTGTCCCCAGTGTGGGCCTGAACCCCAAGCAGCATACCTGTGCAAAACCTGCCTCTGGGCGCCCCCCTGAGGTCTCACAGGGGATCACACTCAGTGAGGCTGCATCCAGCTCCCAACCGTCCCCCAGCTTGCTCCCGTTCAGTAAGAGTAGCTTTGTCCTCCTGGGTGCTCAGGTCCCCAGCCTCCGTTGTCCCTGATGCCCATCTTTCACACTCACATCTAATCCACCATCGATCCTTCCTCATTACCTGGAATCCACACACTTTCCCCCACTTCCACTGCTGCATCCTGGCCCACCTCCCACCCTTGCTCACCCAGACCAGTACAGCAACCCCACTCCCACCCTAACCTCCCCAGGCTCTTTCCTCCCTGGCTGCCAGAGGGCGCCTGTGAGCAACTGAGTCAGGGCACATCCTTCCTTTGCTCAGAACCTTCTGTGGCTCTCACCTTCCCCGGAGTAAAAGTCCTTCTCACAGCCCATAAGGCCCTGCACAACGTGCCCATCACCCCATCCCCTCACCCTCCTCTCTGCCCAGAACCACTCTGTTTCAGCCACACCAGTCTCCTCCATGTTCCCCAAACACACCAGGCACACCCCAGCCTCAGGACCTTTGCTCCGGCTGTTCCCCTCAACCTGGAACACCCTTCCCCTCCTTTCTTCTTCCAGTCTCAACTGAAATGTCCTCCCTGTCCTCTTTCATCTGAATTTGGTCCCCTGCCCCTACCCGCCCCCCACCCTCAACTCTCTCCAAGCACTGCTCTCAGTGGTGAATTAGACACGTTTCAGTGCGATCATTGGATTTGTGTCATTAATTACGGTCCAGCCCAACAATGAAACTCTCTGCAGCTGTTTAAAAAATGGTGGACGTGTATATTTATTTCCCAGAAACAGTGGTGAGTATTGTAAACTGGGGGAAAGAAAAGTCCATTTACAGAGCACCCGGTTGTGTGACCCCATCTCATTGTGTGCTTATCTGTGTCCTGGAAACACAGTCTGGAGGGGCCGCCCCCAGATGCTAACAGGTTGACCTATAGCTGGTGGGGGTACTGGGGGGCACAAGCTTCTCTTCCCACTCATTTCTGCTACTGTCTATTTTCAGTATCCTTCTAAATTAACCTCTGGGTAGATAAGGGTCATTGTCAAAGGTCTGCCTTTTGTTTGCTGTGGTGAGTTGTGGGGGCAGAGCACTTCATTAGAAACACTAGTTAAAAAACTAACAAAAGGAGTACCTAGGGCCAGGGGTGGCTCAGGGTGAGGGCACTCCTGGGCTGGAGGTAGAGGGGTCCTAATTCATGCAATTGTGCGCACCTGGGGTCCTCCAAGGAAACAAACACAAACACAGCAGCTGCTCTTCTTCCCGGGTAATATTAATTCAAAATCACGGCCACGTACTCCATGGTTTCCACTCTGTCCCACGGGGCTGTGAGTTTTGAGGGGTGAGGGCTTGTTGATGAATCAGAGTTAGGGGTGAGGGGAAAACAAGCCTCAGCTCCTGGGTGGGTGTTTGGGGTAATCAGGGGTCATTTGAGGCACCGAATAGGTCTTTGGGGGTCTTTCCCAGCCCCCCCCCAAGATGGGGGCTGACCCAGGTCGTCAGCTGGGTGAGGGCTCGGCCACACCCCCTCACCGGGACACGACGTGGGCAAGGTCTGCCAGAGCACCCGGTCGGGACCGACCATACGACGGTGCCGCCCAGGCAGACACACAGACACACAGACACGCACACACAGCCATGAGGCCGCCCCGTGCCACCGTGTGCACAGCCCGGTGCCTACACCAGCCAAAGGGTGACTCAAGGCTTTGAAGACATGCCCAGAGGCTCTGGGGGTCTTGGATAATTACAGTAAGAGTCGCAGAACCACACACCTGTCACCACTGCACAAGCCCCCATCCCGAATTTGGCGCAGGTAGACCCACCCACACAGCCCCACCAGGTCACAGTGTGTCACAAAGCACCGGTGCAATAAACACCACGTCCCGCAGGAACATAGTGACACACCCCAAGTCTGTAAGAGCCAGACTCATGTGACGACAGACACACAGTCACGGTGTCCCACAAACACGATGGCTCATAGCGCAGGTACCACACACACACACACACACACACACACTGCATGGTATGCATACAGTGGCCCTCTGGATTTGTCACTCTCATGCCCCAGGGCTTCTGAGTCTAGTTGGCCATGGAGGGACCCATTAGGTCATGACCTCATCCTCCCCAACAACGCACAATGGGAAGAGGAAGAGATTCCTGCACCTCTGTTCCCAGAGAGAACGGGGGCCAGATGGGCACCCCTAGCTCAGCCTCCCCCAAGGTTCCAGAGCAGATTTGTGGGGCGGAGTCCAGACACCCCCAGGCAAACCTAGAAAGGGGGGTTTCCATGGCGATCCCCCCCAGGGAATCTGGGCTGGCAGAGTCCCAGCTGCAGCTGCTTAGAGGGGAGGTCATGGGGGGAGGGGCGTTGCACAAAGGTGGGGGAGGGCTCACCCCTAATCCCGCCCTCCCAGACCCTAATTAGGCTGCAGATGGCAGATGGGCCCCCACCCCTCCCCCATTTCCATGACAAAGGCAAGGGGGACTGCCCACCAGACCCTGGTCACTCTTCTACTGCCAAAGGCATGGCTACCTCCCTTAGCCACCAGAGAATGAGGAGCTGATATTCTCACTGACAAATAAGGAAACTGAGTTTCAGAGAGGCAGAGCCACTGGGCCCTGGGTGCCCAGCTAGGAACTCTTGGGGGAGAGTTTGAACCACTCAGGGGATGAGCCATGGAGAAGTATAGGTGGCAGTGGGGAAAAGGGTGTGTGGGAAGGGTGGGTGGCTGTAGGGGTTGAGTGGCCATGAAGGGGGCAGTCCAAGGGGGCGGTAATAAGGGGGACCGGGGACAGTTGCAGATGGGCAGTCATGGGGGATGGGCAGCAGAGGGAAATGAAGGCACTAACCTTGATGGTCTTCGTCTGCAGTTTGAGGCCGTTGAGGGTGTTGATGGCTTTGTCTGCATCGTTGGGATCAGAGTAGTTCACAAACCCATAACCGAGGCTCTGCCCTGTGGGCAGGACCAGGATGATGACCTCCCCAGACCTACCAGTGTCCTCCCAGACCCAGTCCTGAGAGGCTGCCTGCCATCACTCAAGGTTATGAGAATCAAGAGCCCCACCTTACTGTTCCCTGAGAGTACTGCCTTGTCCCCAGGACACCTCAGATCCCCCAGAGTCCTGCCTGCCCCCCATCACCCCTGAGATACCCTACCAGGGGTCACACCTGTCTCCCCATCACACCTCAGATCCCCCAGGGTGCTACCTGCCCCCGTCACACCTGTACTCCTGGGACTACCACCTCTGTCCCCTCCCTCCCCACCTGCCAACAGACACACCTGTGATCTTATCCCGAACCAACTTGCAGGATTCGATGTCACCAATGCTACCGAAGAGACTCTTGAACTCGTCCTGGGTCATGTTCTGGGGCAGGTAGTTGACAATGAGGTTGGTCTTGCTGTCATCAGTGGCTCCGTTTGTACCAAGGAGTGGCCCGTTGGGCAGGGCCGGGCCGGCCGGGCCCCCCGCCACCTGAGACTCCATGGCCCCGAGTATCTGCTGGAGACAACAGGCCACACCTGCTCACGGCCCAGTCCCTACACAGGCATCAGTGGGAGCGAGGGGGGGCTCAGTGGTGATGGATTAGCCATGTCTGACATGGGCTTAAACATGGAGAGAGGACAAGTATTATTCTAATAATCCCTTCCACTCCTTCAGCATCAAGCAAGCACCTTATGTGTGATTTTATGTGAAAAATTCCATATATAGATGCCATGTACGTCCGTTTGCTACGTTTGCCTGTTTGTCTAAAATCAGTCTGTGAATTTCTAGAATAATAAGATGAACCCTTTTGTCTTCAGAATAAGAAATGTAATATTTTTATTAGCTTTTAAGTCCTCATAAGCTCCTCCCTGACCATGTACTGCCCTTCTCCCACCAAAGGGAATTCCTATCCCAAATGTATTAATATTTCTTTTGCTTTGTGCATAATTTTCCCACTAGGCATTTACACCCCCCTCAGTTTTTCCACTGAGCTATTTTTTATTATTTTGCAAAAATGTATTTATTTGAGAGGGAGAGAGAAGAGGGGCAGAGGAAGAGGAAGAGAGAGAATCTCAAGCAGACTCCCCCCCACCCAGCACTGAGCCTGATGTGGGGCTCGATCCCATAATCCTGAGATCACAACCTGAGCTGAAATCAGGAGGCAGATACCCAACCCACTGAGCCACCCAGGAGCCCCTATTATTTTTTTTAAAGATTTTATTTTTAAGGGGCACCTGGGTGGCTCAGTTGGTTAAGCATCTGCCCTCGGCTCAGGTCATGATCCTGGGGTCCTGGGATCGAGCCCTGCATCCTACACCCTGCTCAGCAGGGAGTATGCTTCTCCCTCTGCCTCTCCCCCAGCATGCGCTCGCTCTCTCTCGAATAAAAAATAAGGGCGCCTGGGTGGTTCAGTTGGTTAAGCGTCTGCCTTCAGCTTGGGTCATGGTCCCAGGGTCCTGGGATTGAGCCCCACATTGGGGCTCCCTGCTCGGCGGGGAGTCTGCTTCTCCCTCTCTTTCTGCCCTCCCCCTGCTCGTACTCTCTCTCTCCAATAAATGAATAGAATCTTTAAAAAATAACAATAACAATAAAAATAAATTTATTTATATATCTTTAAAAATATATTTTATGTTTAAGTAATCTCTACACCAAATGTGGGGCTCAACTCACAATCCTGAGATCAAGAGTTGCATGCTCTACTGATGGAGCCAGCTAGGTGCCCCTGAGCTATTTAAATGTATAACATAGTAACACCAGCAAATAATGACAGTTTTATTTCTTTATCTCCAATCTATACCTGTTATTTATTTTTCTTGTCTTATTGCAAGGGATACAGTGTGATAGTGGCTTTTTTATTCATGATGTTAAAGGAAATGTTTTAAAACATTTCACAGCTAAATTTGATTTTTGCTGTGGGTTTTCACTTATGAATGTTTAATTTTATTCTTAGTATCCTAACAAGATTTTTGTTTAAAGAATGGATGTTGAGTTTTATTTAACGTTTTTTCCCTACATCCATTTTTTAATAATTGACAGGTAATATTATATCAGCTTCAGGTGTATAACATAATGACTCAATATTTGTAAATATTGCAAAATTATCTCCACAATAAGTCTAGTTGACAACCATCATCAAATATAGTTATATTTTTTTTCCTGTGATGAGAACTTTTAAGATCTACTTCCTTAACAATTTTCAAATATATTCTACGTCTATTTTATGTGTAAGGACTACACAGAGAAGAATTTTAAAGCCACATCTGGGCTCAGCAGGAAACAGTGCTGGGATTATCTGTCATGGGCCTGGGAAGGTAAAGTAGCCAGCATTTCCTTAGGTATTCTTCAGTGGCATGGTTGGCAGATGGGTTGCCCTCACTTGAAAAATCAAATTGATTGGTAGGGTTTTCCGAAAGGGATGAATTGCGAAGGATTAGAAGCCATATTCAGTTTCAGAGGCGAGATCACTGTGATTGATTAGTAATGTCTTTGAGGCTACAGAATTAGAAAGAGTCAGCAGGTACACTTCATCTCAGCCATCCCCGACCCAAAGTTCAATACCATACTTGTTCCCAAATACTGGGCCTACTGTGTGCCAGGCACAGTGCAAAACCCACTACATGCAATGTTTTTTTTTTTTTTTTCTCCTTATTCACAACCACCCTGAAAAGAGAGCTTAATTTCCCCTGCTTAACAGATGCTGTGAACTGGATGCCTGTGTCCCCTCAAATTCATATGTTGAAAACTTAATCCCCAACGTGATGGTATTTGGATGTGGAGCCTTTCGGACGTAATTAGGTCATGAGGATGGAGCCCTCATGAATGGGATCCATGTCCTTACAAAAAGGGACAAGAGAGGGGCGCCTGAGTGGCTCAGTCAGTTAAGTGTCTGCCTTAGGCTCAGGTCATGGTCCCAGGGTCCTGGGATGGAGCCCCACATTGGGCTCCTTGCTTCTCCCTCTTCCTCTGCCCCTCCCCCAGCTCGTTCTCTCTCTCTCTCAAATAAATAAAATAAAATCTTAAAAAAAGGGGGGGGGACAGGAGAGAGATGATCTCTCTCTCCACCATGTGAGGACACAGCAAGAAGATGTCCATCTGCAAAGCAGGGAGCAAGTCCTTACTAGGAACCAACTCAGATGGCACCTTGATCTTGGACTTCCCAGCCTCCAGAAGAAGATTTATGAGAAATAAATGTTGTTTAAGCCCCCCAGTTTATGGTATTTTGTTAGAGCAGCCTGAGCTAAGACAGATGAGGAAAGTGAAGTTCAGCAATGTTTTAAAAATTACTAAAGCTCACGCAGCTTATAAACAGCAAAATGGATTTGCACAGAAGATTTTCTGATACAGAGTCCGTATTTTCAACTTCCACTGCCGACGGAAGAATAGTGCTAGCTCTAACATTTCTCAGCTGTGTGTCCTCGGGTAGGCTCCATAATGCTTCTGGGCCTCTGCTCTGCTTTGCTGCAAACTCCGAGTTATTGGCACAGTGACCCCAGGGAAGGATCTAAAGCCACACGTGGGTGCAGCTGGAATGCATTCTGGGATCAGGTCGGCCATGGGCACGATCACAGGAAGCAGCTTGTCATGTCTGCCATCCCTGCCTCGTAATACCTGCTATTAATACTGGTCCTGCCCCATTGACATCTTCTGTGTGCTTCCAGGCATCATTTCACTTATTTCTCCCAATCATCTTTAGAGATAGCAACACATTCTCCATTTTATAAGGGAGGCAACCGAGCTCAGAGACTTTGAGCGATATCAATGGGGAATTCGATTTCAAACCTGGCAATGTTGGACTTCAGAGCTGTTTTTAATGACAGTGACCAATGCATGGGGGAGCTCTGCCACCTTATAGGTATGTGTCCTCAGGGATGATCTTAGCTCTTCTTTGAGCCTCTGTTTCCTTTCCATGTATTCTTATTAAGGGATGGCACGGAGGTTCAACTCCCCTGCATCTCCAGTTGGCTGAGAGTGGCTGTCCGGGGGCTTCCGGGAGAGTTATTCTGAAACCTCATCCAGACTGAGCAGGAATACACACTGGATTGATTAACAATGTCTGCCACAGGCACCTGCCATAAAGCGAGAATGCATGCTACAGAACTGTATCCAGTTTCATAAGATTAATACTTTACCGATGGCCATGTATCAAGGCCCTGCTGTGTGCCAGACAAAATCCTTTATGTGAAAATTTCCGGGCAATTCTTCCAACACTGAACATTATGGGACTCTTTTCTTCATTTACCAGAAGAGGAAACTGAACCTCAATGAAGGGGTAGGGATTTACACAAGGCTGGATATCATGCAAATGGTGGATCAAGAATTCAAATCCGGAGCTTGGACATCAGAGCCTACTTTACTAAGAAAAAAAGCCAATAATAGTAAAAAATAACAGCAAAGTGAAACTGAGCCCCTACTCTACACCTAGCCCAGGCATCACTACATTTAAACCCACTCTGTTGGCTGACTGTACCCGTTCAATTCAACAAACATTTACTGGGTGCCACCATGTGCTGGCTTCTGGCTCCAACCTCCTCACTGTGTATCCTCTAACATTCACACTGCCTCTCTGGGCCTTGGTCCCTCCACTAAAGATACGGCACCGAGGTTCCCCACGCACCAAGATGGATTCTGAATTACCTTCTGGGCTCGGAAAACTAGAGTTCTGTGACTGGTTGGTGATATCTGCTACAGGAGAGCCCCCTCCCCCATAATTAGCAGTACACAAAACACTGTTTCAGGACACAGCAGGTTCCAGCTTTGGAACCCCTACTATGTGCCAGGCACTGTGCAGGTGCAAAGGTTTCACTGACTTCCCACAACCACACTGAAAGCTGGAGATCATCTTCTCCATTTCTCAGATGGAGAAACTGAGGGTCAGAGGGACCTGTGATTTGCCTGGGAGTGACCGGCGGTGGAGGTAGTGATGAAGTCTGACTACTGATCTGATTATCCAAGAGCCTACAGAGGCACCCCAAATGTCCTCAACTTGGATGGGGTTAAAAGGTAATTGGGATCTTGAGACCCAGCCTACTAATCTTCCCAGCACCCCATCTCCTTCCCATCTGTGCCAGAGCTTAGCAGGATCAGTGTCGCGTTTCCTCTGCAGCTCAGCCGGCTGAGCCGCTAATAGGGATCGGATTGGTGGAGACCACACCCGCCCGGCCCCAGCCCACAGCAAATGCGTGGCCTGGGATGACTCACGGATCTCAGGGACCTTGGAGGGCTGTCCCAGGTCAGGAGTGGAGGGGTGAAGTCAGAGGGGAGGAGGGTAGACCCAAGACGGTGAGGCAGAGACCAACTGGGAGCAATGGAACCTTCCCTCCCAGTCTCTCCAGTTCTTCCTCTGGCTCTCTCTCTCTTTCTGTTTCTCTCTTCCTCTTTTCCCTGCTTCTCTGTTCTTCTCTCCCCTCTGAACCCGTCTGTCTCCCCCTCCTTCTCTCTGCCACTCTTTCTTCAACTCTTTTGCACCATTGCACACACATGACATATGGATTTTGCAGGGAACACACCAGAGGTCACTTGCTCTGTAGACCCTCCTGTGACTGACCCCTTTGGCCCCAGTCACAGTGATAGATGCCTGGGTACTGGCCACAATAGGGCATTGAGTGGCTATGCATGGTAAGGCTGGGCTACCACGTGGTGCTAACTAGGCCTCCCCCTTCTGGGCCCTTCTCCCCCTCACGGTCTCAATTTATCCCCTCACTTCCTCCCAGCCTGTCCCCATGGTGGACCTCTGCCTGAGTGCCCTCCAGGGGAGTAACCAGGCCTTCCAGGGCTTCAAGGCCCTTGTGTGACCTCTGACCACACCCTCGCCCCTTTGTGCATCAGTTTCCCTCTTTTAAATGAAGGAACAGATCAGAGGAATGGATGCTGGACTGCTGTGGGGGTTCTGGGGGTCGTCAGGAGGCTGCACTCACGTTCCTGCCCCTGGGTTAGCAGCCTGAGGCCCAGAGAGGGGAGGGAGCCTGCCTAAGGTCACACAGCAGGGAAGTATGGCCTCTCCGGCCTCCTTTCTCCGAGCCAGGTGGGCGGGTCCCAGGGTCCCACGCAGGGAGGGAGTGTTGAGCATCCCTCCACCCACTGGGCTCGCCACGACTCCAAGAAAAGGCCCAGAAAGAGACACAGTGCACAGAGACACACACACACACACACAGACCGGAAAGACAGTAAGTACGGAAGAAGGAGGTCTGGGCGCTGGGACCAGACAAAGGACGCGCGGCGGCGCGGGGAGCGGAGTCGCGCGGCGGGGGCGGGGGTGGAGCCGGGGTGGGGCTAGGACTGGCCAGCCCCGCCCCCGGGATACGCCCGGGTTGCCGAGTGGAAATCCGAGGGCTCGGGCGAGGCCGGGCCCTGGGGGCCCCAGGGGGCGGGGTCCAGATGGGCGGGGCATGGGCGTGGTTATACAGGGCGTGGCCGGGCGTGGCCGCGGGCTCGGGAGCTGACCAGCTCAGTGGTTGCTGAAAGCACCGGGAGTGGGGCGAGCGGCGCGGGCGGGCGGGTGCTCTCAAGGTCACCCCGAGGCCCAGAGCCTTGGCGGGGTGGGGCGCCTGGACCTGGCCTAGGAGACATCCCTGAGCTCCTTACCCCATCCCCCGTGGGGCGGGGGCCCAGGAGTCAGGAAGCACCCCCCCCCCACCGCGGGCCCTCCTCTCCCCTCCCCCTCCCCGAAGCCTGAGGCGCCCGCGCGAGGCTACGGCCCGCTAAGAAGCTCCGAGAAACAAAGGGACGCGGCAGCAGCGGCGGCGGGCCCGCGGGGCCTCCGGGCGCGCCCCCTCCTCTCCCCTCCCCGCTTGCCGCAAGGTCGACGGGCTCGAGGACGAGACGCCCGGCTCCCCGGGCGCGGTCAGGGCCCGGGGAGCGGATCCGACGCCACCCGCTTTCCCGGGGTTCTCGGGGACGGCTTGCCGCCTTGTCCTGGCCCAGCACCAGTGATTGGGGCCCTGCGTTTGCCTGGGCGGCCTGCGGGGTCCGGGCCTGGATGGAGAAGGCATCCTCCGCTGCTGCGGCCCCTCCCCCATCAGGCCTGCTGGAGGGGGGCTATCCCGCCTCCAGGGCGCCATAGGACGCCTCCCCGAACCAGAGTTCGGCTCCCTAAGGCCTCTCAGGCCAGCCTCTATGCGCCCCCAGCACTCTGGGTGCGGCCCAGCCCACTCTCAGGCCCCGAGGCTCGGTCCTACCCCCCCACCGGGGCCTAGCTAGGCCTGGTCCTACCCCCCCACCCCACCCCCCCGCCATCTCCGCGAAGCCTGTGCCTAACCGCTCCCCAACCAGGTTCCATCTCAGCGACAAGGGAATACCTACAGTGACCATTCTTGTGTGCCCGGCGGGCGCGGTCCGTGTTGAGGGCGGCTCCGGGGGTCGTGCACTCCTTGGGGGGCGCTCGATGCTCACGCCGGGGTCCTGCCCGGGCGGCCTCTGGCGCGGCCGCTGCAGAGGTGTAGATGAAGGCGGCGGCTCCCTCGAGGGCCGGGGACGGGCCCGAGCCCGAGGACGCGCGCGCGGATAGCCGGGCCCCGGGGTGGCCTGCGGGCGGCAGGGGATGGAAAGAGGGAGCGGGCGCGGGATTGAGATCGCCCCCTGCGCGGCCCCGCGGGGCCCGGGGAGGTTGCGCTTCCTGACAGAGATCGCGGCGCTCTGCCTTTCGCGGCCGCCCCTCGGCCGGGCTTGTCCGGTCCTGGATGCTCAGTCCTCTCCCCTCGCCCGCCCTCCCTCCCACCCTCCAGCCCGCGCTGCGCGCTCCGCGCTCTGGGCCGCGCCGCCGCCGCCCCCAGCCCTTTATAGGAGCAGCTGCCAGAGCCGGCGTCGCTTATTGGCTGCGGCAGCTAAGCCCCGCCTCCTCCCGGCGCCCGACGGCGCGGCAGGTGGAAGCGAGCACGCGCTGGCTGGGACTCCGCACCCCCAGAAAGCACGCCCTGGGGGCTCGGGTTGCCAGATTCGGGCCCCTTTGCCCCCGTGGACCCTGCTTCCTGCATTGCCGCCCCTTCTTGGGCGGGCTTTCTGCCGGAAAGACAGGGACGGCTCCCCTCCTGGGTCCAACACCCTGATCTCTTAGAGCGAAGAGAGTGAGGAGATATCGGTGGCCTGATTGGACGAACTTCCGGAGTTGCTGTCCACCAAGAAGACTGGAAAGGGACGAGGAACCAAGATTTCTATAAGCAGAGACCAGGTCCCCAGATTTGGGGGCAGCAGGTGTAGCCTCCCAAGACCAGTGGAAAAAGGTGGGGGTGGGAGGGCCTCTCATCTGCCTGCAGAAGGAACTGGGACCCTGCGGCTTTTGAGTGGGCTAGGTTCAAAAGGTTCGTTAGAAAGGTGGGGACTGGCACCCTCCCCCCACAGTGCAAGGGCACTCAGCACTTATCCCAGGGGGGGCGGTGAAGAAGTTTGGGGCTTAGGATTCCAGGCCAAACCCACTGGCGTCCTGCTGTTCCGGGAAACCACCGGGCCTTCTCAGACGCCATAAATTTTGGGTGGGTGGATCTGTTGTATAAATGTCCTGACTTTCCAGGCTCGGGATTGGCCTGCCTGTGGAGTCACGCTTCTTCTCAGCTAGGGGGAATCTGGCTTCTCTCTTAGGCAATAGCGGTTGGTGCAGCCTCCTTTGGTGCGCGGGCTCAAGGGCACGTTTACGTCGGGACGGCTATCAGGCGGGAGGAAATGTTCTCACTAGGGCAGAGTCGCTTTCGCCTGAGACTTCAGCACCACAGACAGCAGCCCGACGGTCTGGCCGAGGACGCTATGGGCTGGGTAAGCACCAGGCCCTTCGTCCGGGAGTCGCAGCCTCCACCGTATCCTCGGCCCTGCACGCCCTTTTAGGTTCCAGACTGTCCGAGAATGCCATCAAACCCAGCGAGGAGAGCCTAATTTGACCAATCAGGGACTGCCCTCGAGAGAACCAATTGCGGGAGGATGCCCTCGAGATTGAGCCAATGAGAGAGCGCGCAGCAGAGAGCGCTGCCACGCTGATGGAGAGAACAGGCCAATCACAGTGGCCCGCGCAATCAGGGCGGTGGCGTTGCAGGTCCCTGGTGGCCCCTCTTGGGTTTGCCGGGGCGACCTGGCTGTCGAACCTAGAGACCCCGAGCGAGGGTTTCTTCCCCACCCCGTGTTCCTCCCGGCTCCTATCGGATTGCAAATTGTGCCTGTGCCGGGAAGGGAGCTCCTCCTGGGCGCGCAAACCCGGATGCGGTTTCCATGGAAACTGCTGGCTCTGGGTGTGCGGGGATAGAGAACGGGACTGAGCCCTGGGAGATTTAGGGAGCTCGCGTGGGTGGCCCCAGCGGCCGGACTTGCTCATCCTCGCCGACACGTCCGTCCCTGGTTGGGATAACCCCTGGTCCAAAGTGTAAAACGAAGCCTAGCTGCGGCCCCGCCCCCACGAGCTGGTGAGGAGCTAAGGGGCCAATCTGCGCGTGGCGCCACAGGGCTCCCTCGGGCACGTGCCCGGGCTCGCGGCTGCGGTCCCCGGGGTCACGTGGCTGCAGCCACCAGGGCCCACGCAGCTTGCGCGCCACCTGGCGGCCGCCGGCCTTGTATCGCTCCTCGCCTCTCTTGCTGGCGGCCGGCAGGAGGCGGCAGCGCCCTCAGCATCCTCCTCCGGGAAATGGGGCCAGGGCAGCCGCCTCATCGCTGCCAACTCCCCTCCCCACCGCGGCTTCCTGTTCCAGGAACACGCCGAGCCGTTCTACCTCGGGGCTTTGGCACTGGCTGTTCCTTCGGCCTGGGATTTGCCTCCTCCAGCTTTCTTCAGGGACTGAACCTCTTTGTCATTCTGGTCTATGCTCAAATGCCACCATCTCAGAGAGGACCTCCCTGACCACCGATTTAAACAGCCAGAAACTAACCACTCTGTTTCCTGCACGGGGCCTGTCACAGTTGTAAATGTCTTACTTAAGGGTCTACTGAACATCTCCCCAACCGGTCCCAGAGCTCTCTGACTGTGGGGAATTCGTGTTCCATGAGGGATTTAGGAGCGGGCATCAGGATCCTAAGTCTTGGGAGATGTCCAGTGCTCTCCCAGGCTCCCAACCTCCCAACCCTGCCTGCGACAGGGAGTGTTTGGAGCTGCCAGGCCCAGATAGCTGAGGCAGCGCAGAGGCTGTGAGGGAAAGGGCATTGTCCAGCATGTAGGGGCACCACCGCCTGCCTTGCCCTTGCTCAGGAAGGGACCAGGATGGAGACAAAGAGGGGCCCGGCCCCCCAAATCATCCAGGCCTAGGGGGAGGGCGTCTCCTTTCTCACTCTTTTAATCTCGCTCTGCTCTCTTGACACAGTTCTAGCAGTGCGGCCCCAGGCGCCACCTCCAGAGATAGGGCAGGGTTGGGGGGGGACCAGCCCCGGGGGGAGGGGGGCCCAGCCCTGGGGCAGGGCAGGGGCGCCTCCTTCCGGCCCGCGGTCCGGGAGGCCCCCGCGGCTGTGCGGGCCCCGGCAAGCCCGGGCGTCGTGTCCGAGCGGACGAATAAATAGGGGCGGTCGGTCAGTGGTTGGATGGGTCAGGCTGGCTTGTGGTCCGGGTGGCTTTTGAGCGTGTGGAACTTGACGCTGTCCAGCTTCTCGAAGCGCTTCCCACAGCGCTCGCACGTGAAGTTGTACTGAACCTCGGCCGTGTGCTTCTTCATGTGCCAGTTGAGTGACGCGCGCTGTCGGCACTGGTAGCCACAGATCTCGCACCTGCCGGGAGCCGGCGGGCGACACCGGGGGCGGGGTCAGACTGGGGTGGGGCCGCATTGGGGGCGGGGCCCAAGCTACGAGGACCCAGCCGCCCCCCTTGCCCCCCGCCCCGGAATCCGAGGGGTGGACCCGCCCTCTGCCGGTCCAGGCCCAGGCACCCTCCCTCTCAGCCCCCTTCCCCACCCCCCGCCCCGCGGGGAAGCCTGTCACTCACTGCAGGGGCGTCTCGCCGGTGTGCGTGCGTCGGTGTACCTCCAGGTGGTTCTTCCTCTTGAAGGACTTGCCGCAGGTTTCGCAGGTGAATTCACGGACACCTGGGGGAGATGCGGGGCTGAGCACGCCGCCGTCGGGGGCGGGGGCTGCGGGACGTCTCTGCCGCGCTGCGGAGACCGGGTCTCCGCAGCGGTCTCCCGGACCTCCGGGCTCAGGGACACCAGATCGGACAGCCTCTGGGAGCCACTGCTGACTTTAATAACGAGGGCGGTTAATACCGAGGGCAGCTCACAGCCCCGTATGAGGCTCAGAGGCTGCCCGGGAAGGCGCTGGGGCAGAGCGGATATGTGAGCTCGGCTCCCCGGGAGCCACGGAGTGCAAACTGTCAAGCCAAAGTGGGTCTGAATTTGACCCCAGTATCAACTTCGGGGCGATTTCACATAAGAATCCAAGGTTCCCGCCTCTTGAAATATCTGAAGCCGTGTCCTCCCGCTGGATACAGGCCCCAAAGCTTCCCAATGAGTCAGCAGCCCAGGGTGGCAGTCCTATGCCTGGGGACCCAGTGCTCCCTGGGGGTTTCAGCCCGCCTGCCCCCGCCCTAGATCCAAGGCCCATGACCCTATGCCCCACGCTGCCAGCCCCACCCTGGGCCTGACCTGAATGGATGATCATGTGCCGCCGCAGGTGGTTGGATAAATAGAACTTCTTGCCGCAGCCAGGGTGTGGACACACTTTGGTCTTCCCTTTCCGATGCACAAGATTGACATGGTTCTGTAGGCAAGAGGGGCAGGAGTGGGGGAGTGGGGCTGTGGGTGTCATGGGCCCACCTCCAGGGCTCTCCACGGTGGGGACAGATAAGGGTAGCTGGGAGGCAGGCTGGGGCCAGCCTTTCTGGAGGAAGGAAGAGGGGTGTCCGTGCCCATGCCCTTGCCCTTGCAAGGGCCCCCCAGCTCTGAACAAAGGCCCAGGGGCACAACTGGGATCAACTGCAGCTTTCCTGTGCAACCACGCCAGCCAGGGCCTGGGCTGGGGCATCAGTCAGCCTTGTCATAAACCTTGTGGTGGGGCCCTGCTATTGGCTGTTTACGGATCGGGAGATGAGGCTCCAGAGGCTTAGGGTTTGGCTCATGTCTCACGGGTGGGCAGTGGCAGGGCTGGCCGGGATTCCAGGGCTCTCTGTCCCACAGCAGGCTTTGCCATGGAGCTGTGCTGCCCCCACAGTCTGGAGCAGGCAGCCCCTTCAGTCACTCCTTTGTTCTTTTATTCTTAACTCACCAGCACACCTGTAGCTCCAGGGCCCAGCACTAGGCCTGGCACCCGAAAGGTGCTCCACACACGCTGGGAAATGAGACTTAGCAAATTCAAAGGCCTACTGGTGCTGCCTCCTGCCACAGGTGGGAATGTGACAGGACCCTGTCTCTGCCCTTGGGGCATCCCATCCAGGCTCCAGAGGACAAACTACAGGGATGTCCTGGTGGTGCAGTAACGTGGGGCTCGCAGGCCCCACCAGCCCCAGAGAACTAGGGTGGGCTTCCGGGTGGAGAGGCATCCCGAGCCGAGCCTGGAGAAGAGGCATCCGGAGCCAAGAAGGTGGCCGGGGCAAAAAGCAGGCTGAGTTCAGGCCGGCTGAGAAGGCAGGACAAGGGCACTGGAGAGCTGGAAGGGGAGGCAGCGAGGTGACGCCTGGTGTCCTGCAGCCGAGGCAGGGTCAGTGAGAAGCTACTGAGAGGTGGGCGTGTGGGAGGCAGGCCAGTGGCACCCGGTGGGGCGAAGTGGGACCCTCCGTGAGCTGCACTGCGCAGACGCCAGCATACAGGCGGCGGGAAACAGACGCGGGCCCCGCTCAGCCTGCTTGGGTGGTGGCCTCACCTGGAAACTGCTGAGGGCCACATAGACCTGGCTGCAGCCCTCGTAGGGGCAGTGGAACATCTCTAGCAGGCCATCGGCATCCGTCACCCGAGTCCGCTTGCTCCGCCGCCTCCTGGAGGGGAAGGGGCCCATGGCGTCGGGGCTCTCACACCAGGCCGGCTGTGGGCCCGTGGGCTGCTCCTTGTCCCAGCCCCCCCGGCTGCCCAGGCACCCACTTCTCGGGCTCCTTGGGGATCTCGTAGATGATGGCCGACATGTCACTGCCGTCCAGCTCCTCCCCATCCGCCTCTGCTTCAGGCTCTGCGCTCTCGGGCCCTGTCGCCGCCGGCTCTGCCAGCTCTGGGGCTACGGGCTCCTCCTTCTCCTCCTTCTTAAGCATGTACAGGTCCTCCTTCTCTACGGGGGTGGACACAGGGCGGGTGTCCGCGGGCGGACTCGTGTGGTTGAGGAGCTGGCTCTGGGGCCACCCCTCCGCCCTCCCTCCTCCTCCCAGTTCCCGCCCCAACCCCTGCCAGCGACCACAGCAGCCCCCCCACCCCCCAGACCTTTCTTGGTCTCGATGCCTGCCATGGCAGCAGGGTCCAGGGTGCTGGGCTGGCTGCCCTCGGGCTCCGTCTGGGTGTAGGCTGCTACACCCTCCATCATGGCGCAGGGCACCTCGTCCCCCAGGCCTCCAGTGGGGGCACCGCTGCCTGCTGCCACGTTGAGGTGGATGCCCTCGGCCGTGAGGGCATCGTAGCCGGGGCCAGCGATGATGATCACCTGCGAGCCAGGCACCATGCCCGGCATGGGACAGCTGGCCACCACCTCGCCCAGCGCCTCCTGGGGCATGTTCTCAAAGAGGGTGCCGGGGCCCGGGCCCACTTGCACGGGCACTGGCACGCACACCACCGTCTCCAGGGCCTCGGGCCCGCTGCCTGCCGGGTTGGGGCACAGCGGGGTGCCCTGCTCAGCCAGGCTCTCCACGTGGTGGACGTCGAAGGGGATGTGCACGCCCTCCTGCGTGATGAGCCCGCTGCTGCCCGCCGGGCTGGTGGGGGTAACTGCCGCCGCCGCTACCTTGGCCGGCTGGCCCTCAGGGGGCTCCTCAGAGTCAGAGCCCGAGCCGGAGCTGGAAGAGTCGGAGCTGCCGGCCGCCAGGCCATTGCCCACTGCGGTGACAGAGGAAAGGGGACAGTCACAATAGCAACAGTGGCTGCAACAGTATCCGTCGAGGGCTTACTGGGGGCTGGGCACGGTAACCCCCTCAGTGCCACAAACATTGGTCATTTCTCAGTCCCCCCTGTGCCCCGACCGCCCCTGCTCCTCAGAGACGCTCTCCTCCCTCAGCCTCCAGACCCGAATTCTGGTTTTCTGGGCCCTCTCTGAGGGCCCCTTCTTAGCCTCGTTAGCCTTTACAGGTCTGGAAGGTTCTAGCCAGGGCTCTCCTCAGTGCTCCACCCACCCCAGGGCCTCAGCTAGCCTGATGGTGGTAAATACAGCCCTCATTCTTGACACCAGCTGGGTGTCTGACGAGTCAATTCAGATGCCATGCTTATTAAGGGCTCAGGTCCCACAAGACTGCCTGCTCCCGCCTTGGACACCGGCTACAAGACCCTGGCCGTTGTAATTCTGGTTATAAATTGTGGGTTTCTACGACGCTCTCTTCAGGTTTGATAATTTGCTAGAACAACTCACAGAACTCAGGAAAGTGCTTTACTTATGACTACAGTTTTATCACAAAAGATGCAACTCAGCGATAGTCAGATGGAAGAGGTGCCCAGCGCAAGGTGTGGGGGCTGGGGCGGGAGCTGTCACGCCCTCTCCAGACGCGCCACCCTCCTAGCACCTCGAGGTGTTCACCAAGCCGCAAGCTCCCTGGACCTCCTTATTTAAAGAGTTTTTGCAACCCAGTCTCCAGCCCCAGTCTGTTCCTTGGGGGTCAGGGGTGGGGCTGAGAGATTCCCCCATCTAATCATGTGTCTGGTCTTTGGTGACCAGCCCCCAACCTGAAGCTATCTAGGGGACCCTGCCTGAGTCACCTAGATTAGCACAGACTCGGGTGTGCTCCAAAAGGGCCCCTTATGAAAAGGGCTCATGATGAACAATGAAGAACACCAGCCGACCCACCAGCCCGTCATCTCAGCATTCATTCCTGACAGCCAGATCGGGCAGCCACTGGTGTCAATGAATGAAGAACATTCCCATCACTCAGGAAATTCCAAGGATTTTAGGAGCTCTGTGCCAGGAACCAGGGACAAAGATTGAATATTGATTTTTATTATCCTGCCACCACCCATACTCCGATGCCTCTGTATGGACAGCTCCCGCCTGGACCTCCTGTGGGGCTGGGGCTCTTACCTCCCACTGCCTTCTCTGCTGCCCCCAGGGGGGTCTCACAGGCACCTCAGAATCTGCTCAGCAATTCTGGGCTCTGAATCTTCCCTAAGAAAAAGCCCATACCCTTCCCAGACATCCCCGTCTCAGGGGATGATGGCGGTTCTGTCCTTCCAGTTGCTCAGGCCAAACAAAGTCCTAGGGCTGCCCCTGACTTCTCTTTCTCTCACACCCACTTCCAGTCTGTCAGCAAAACCCGTTGGCACTACATCCACATATTTAGGGATACTAGGGGGGTTCCTGCCCCAGGGCCTTTGCATTTGCTGTTTGCTCTGCCTCAACACTCTTCTCTCAGACACCCGCAGGGGCTCCCTCCCTCATCTCCGTCAGACCCTTTCCTAAAATGCTATTTATTCAGGGAAGCCTCTGACCACCTTATCTCAAACAGCATTCTTTTCTCTCCTTAATTTTCCTCCAAAATACCACCTTCCACTGTACTCTAGATATTAATTGTTTATCTTGTTTTCTCTCTGCTTCCCCTCTAGATCATAATCTCCACAAGGATAGGGGGCCCTGTGCACAGGCCCCAGTGCCCAGAAGGCCGCCTGGCACCCACTGAGCACACAGTTCTAAAAACGAATGAATCTCAGCCCAACATTGTGATGAAGGTCAAGGAGACCAACATTTCGCCTAGGTATATTTCGTGCTGAAGTCCACACACACAGGGAGAAACAGGGGACAGAAAAATCAAGAACTGACCCTCGGTTACACACTCATGACAGAGTCGGGGCGCATTGTCTGGGGACCATGCGTCCTATCCTCCCAGAAGGTCACATGGAGCACGCAGGCTCTGGAGCCAGACTTCAGGGTGGGATCTTGGTGCTCCCCGCTCCAGCTGTGTGAATGTGGGGGCCTTACGTAACCTCTCTGGGCCTGGGGATAAATTGGCACCTACCCCAGGGGGTGTTTGGGATAATGAAGAAATCTGTGTAAAGCGCCTCAGACACTACCAGGCTCTGAGTAAGCACCCTATCGATGTTTTCTATTATCATTCTTATCATAATGCCCCATCCCTGACTCAAGGCCCCCAGACAGCAGCAGGAGTGGGGTAGGGGGATCAGCCCCTCCTTGTAACACCCTGTAATCTGCAGGGTGAGCTGAGTCCCTGGGCTCCACCCTAAAGCAGGGGGCAGTCACCTAGTGAGTTGGGGGCATGGCCTGGGTGTGCGCCTGCCTCCCCAACTGTAGTGTCTAGCTGTGAAGGCCAGACTGCACTTCTTTGCAGGTGATCATAACATTAATCACAGAAATGGCTGCACATCCCCGGGCCTCTCACAGTCCTGGCAGGAGGTGCTCCTACTTAGTGAAAAGCAGCCTGGGCCACCCCAGGCAGAGAGCTGATAAGGGAGCTGCTGAGGGAACAGGGCTGGGACAGGGACACAGCCCCTCCCCCACAGCCCCCCCCACCCCCCTACAGCCACAGCCGACCCACCAGCCCGTCATCTCAGCATTCATTCCTGACAGCCAGATCGGGCAGCCACTGGTGTCAAAGTTGGGTGGGGGTGCGGACCCACTGCCAGAGGGGTCAGTCACAATTAGTTTCCTCGACTGCCAAGTGGGGCTAATGAAGAGCTGTAGGGTGGTTTGGGTCGGGGGGCACCTGGAGTGGGGAGAGGACCGCCGAACGGCCGGCTGCATGCTGGGGTCTGGCTGGGGCACAGGGGACAGCCGTTGGCCAGGGGGCCCACCTGGAACACCTCTCGCCCACGGCTTCCCCTTGGCCAGCTGGGATGCCACCTGCTCTGAGGCTCCTGCCAGTGCGCACTCAGCCCTGGCAACTGACCTCACCCTCCGCCCTGGCAGGGCACCTGGCGGTGGGCCCCGGACTCCTTCTCGCAGCTGAAGGTGAGCCCCTGAGGCCGGCAGGCAGGTGGGCAGCCCCACACCACCCACAGCGTCTCCTCTGCACCCCACCCCCCAACCAGGACCAACTGGGCCTCGGTAACGGAGTCCCTCCCAGTCCTGCTGCGTGTTCAGGACCCGTCACCCACATGGGCCGGCAGAGGAGGGGAGAGACCGATGGGGGAGGGGAGTGGGGGTGTGGGGGAGACAGGGAGAGACTGGGGGAGACAGGGAGAAGGCAGGAGACAGAAGGGAGAGGAGGAGACAGAAGAGTGAGAGAGGGAGGGGGGGTGGGAGCTCAAGAACAGAGAATGGGGAGGAAGGAGGAGACCCGGGCAGAGAGGGCAGGAGGATTAGGCTGGGAGAGAGCCCGGAACAGAAGGGGAAAGGGCCAGGGAAAACAGAGGAGGAGGCAGAGGCCCGGAGAGCAGCCCAGCCTGAGGAGGCCCAGCACCCACCCCTCTCTCCAGCCGCCGAGCCAGGCTCCCCGACCCCCAGCCCAGTTGGCCTCGGGCACAGCTGTCCCTCTGGAAAATGGGGGCCGCTGCCTCTCAGCTCCAGGACTTGGAAGATTGCAGCTCAGCCTGCCGGGCCCGGGCGCCATCCCTGAGGCCAGCGCCAGCCTCCTTGCTCTGATGTTTCCAGTGCTGGCCTGAGGCCGACAAGACCCGTGAGGGCAGGGAGTCCAGGGCGCCCCAGCCCATGAGGAGCCGTAGAGCCCTCACCCCTCGGACCCACCTTTGTCGCTGTCGGGGTCTGAATCGCTGAGGGGCTTCAGGGGCGAGTGCAGGTCTTGGAAGTAGCGGTGGCCGGCCTCGCACTGCCACACGGCCGTGGTATACAGACCGAAGGTGGGGTCCAGCTCGGCCAGGTGCGGCTCGTACGGGCAGCGGTGTTTGTGGTCCTCGTACCAGATCACCACATTCTTCAGGCAGTTCACGTTGCGCCGCCTCCCTACACACACAGGGCGGGGCCCGGAGTCAGGGGTAGTGCTCGCCCCCCCAGGGCCCCCAGGACGCCCCGGCCTTAGGGCTCCCCGGGCGGTGAGACACCTTCCTGCACCCTGTCCAGGCCCGTCCCCAGTTTGCAGATGAAGAAACAGGCTCTGAGAGGTGAGGTCCACGCTGGTGATAACGGAGACCGGCCAGACTGTCCTCACTGAATAAGCTGAACCACATAAACTATGGAGCCTGGCACATGATAGGTGCGCAGTGGTTAGTGGCTGCTTGTTGTTAACAGACTCACCCTCATCAACGTCTCAATGTCTCTGGCCTGGACCAGCTGAGTCCCCTCTGCCCTGGTCTCTCTGCTCCCACATTTGTCCCACTACAGTCTACTTGGCCTACAGCCAACAGAGGGGGCCTGCTGCAAACACTTGAGTCAGGCCATGCCCCACCTCTGCCCAGAATCCATCAGGGTTCCCACCTGGCTGGTGTTAAAAGCCAAAGTCCTCCCCAGAGCCACCAGGCCCTACATGTTCTGCCCCATCACCTGCCCTTCTCCTTGATCACTTCATCCCAGCCTCATGGCCTCCTCCCTGTTCCTGAAATGAGCAGAGTATGGCCCTGCCTCAGGGCCTTTGCACAGACTGTGTCTCCTTCCAGATGACTGCCTTGCCCTTCCCCCTTCACTCAGGTCTTTCCCTCAGTCTGCCACCCCCTCCCCACTGTCCTTCTAGCTGACCTGACTTGCTGTTCTTTCTCTCCAGGTAGCACCTAAATACCATTTGTGGTTACCTCTGTCCATGTTTCTGTCTTCCCTACTAGAATGCCAGCTCCCCAAGGGCAGGGACCCCTGTTTGTCGCTCCTCTTGTATCCCCAGTGTCTACACAGTGCCTGGCACATAGTACGTCTGCTGGATGAGTAGATGCTTTAAGGAGGTGGGCCCAGTGGAGCCAGCCTGTGGATTCAAATCCTGACTGCCACTTTGTAGCTGGGTGGCTCCAGGCAAGTGACTTGGCTTCTCTGAACCTCTTCTGGGCCAGGGGAGAATGACAGTCCCCGTTCCTTGAGGGCTGCCAGAGAGGAGGGAGGGAAGACATTGACAGGGCACGGAACGGGGCTGGATACACTTTGAATGCCCAAGAAATGGAACCTGCCATATGTCTAATGATGCTGGTCCTGCAGCCAAGGGGGAGGAAACTGTCCTCCCGATCTTCCAGGCTGGGAGATGAGGAGGGTGCCCAGAAGGGTCCTGGGCCTAGGGATGTTGTCTGGAGCCTCCAACCCAGTGACGACTGTGGAGACAACAGGGACCCCACCCCTAGTCGCCCCTCCAGTCTGGCGCTTGCCTCCGTATCTCCCTCCTCACCGCTTTGAGGCCTGGAGGTCACAGACTTAGCTCAGCCCTTGCCTCTGACACCTGTGAGAAGGGGTGGGACTCGCTGCCACCAGACAGCCGTTCCTGGGCCGGTGGCCCTCACCCTGCTGGACAAGGCCCGAGACCCACAGCACCAGGGCTCAGAGGTTCACGGCCGAGGGGTAGGAGGGATGCACTGCAGGCCTCCACTCCGACTGCTCACGCCCTGCTCCCCTCAGCTGTTCCCTCTGTCCTGTCCAGCTCTCCCCTGGGTGACTCCCCTGCACCAGGCAGGACAGTGCAGGAGCTAAGGGGACTGCTCTGGTGACATGGGTTTGTGGTCTGGCCTGGCCCCTTGCCAGCTTGCGGCGTGGGGTGGTGACTTGGCCTTTTATGTGTGAGATGGGGGTGGTGGGGGCACCCCACTGGGCACAGCACAGGTGCCAGTCCCCTTCCTGCCCCTGCCCCCAGGCCCAGCTGGGTCAGACCCTTCCTATGGGCCCCCAGGGCCCCCACTCCCCTGCCACGGCCCTGCTGGGCCTGTCCCCCATCTTCCCCTGAGACCATGGGCTCTGTGAGGGCAGGGCTGGATCTGTGCGGGTCCGCACAGCCCCGGCCCGTGCAGGCCCTCCACAAATGGGGCGTGAGGATGAGTGAGGGAACGAACAACAAAGCCACTTACTCCCAACACCCATCCCCTCCCCGCTGGCTGTAGCCCCACTTACTTTTCTTCCGCTTTGGCTTTTTGGGGACCTGCTCCCAAGGCTTCCTGTAAGACAGAGAGGCAGGGGGAGTGAACACAGGGCCTGCTGATGCTGAGCTAGTGATAGCATCCTGCTCCAAGGCCTAACTGTAGCTGCTGTTCTATTTCCCAGGGGACTCTCTCCTCCACTGACACCAGCCCTTGGACCGTGGTCTAGCATCACCACCCGTTTTGCCAAGTGGGAAAATGAGGCTGAGGAGTGAGGCTGCCCACCCAGGGTCCTGTGGCCAGGGAGTGGAGAACTCAGAAAAGGGGTAACAGAAAGTCAGTGTGGCAGGCAGAATTCTACACTGGCCCCACGATTCCCAACTCAGGGTCACACACCCTCTACAGTCCTCTCCCTCCATGAGTGGGGCGGCCTGAAAATATGATGGGATACCACTCCTGTGCCTAGGTGACTTGAATCAGGAGGGAGCTTTCCAAGGTGGGCCTGGCCTAATCAGGGGAGCCCTTAAGGCCAAGGATATGAGAGGCCTATGAGGGGACAGGACCTGAGAACGGCCTCTGGGAGCTGAGAGCAATTCCAGTTGACAGCCTCAAGGCTGTGGCGACCTCAGCTGTACAACCCAGGAGGGAATGAATTCTGCCAATGCTCCAAGGGAGTCTGGAAGCAGCTCCTTCCCTAGTCGAGCCTCCAGATGAAGACGCGGCCAGCTGAAACCCTTGTTTCAGCCCTGTGTGACCTTGGGCAGAAGACCCTGCCCCTGACCCTACCTGCCTGCTCTATGTGGGCCCCAGCCCAAGGTGCTGCCCACTCCATCAGTCCTGCCCCTGCAGCCAGCTCAGGTCCACGTGCCCTGGCCATCATGCCCACCTGCCTCTGGGGCCTTCCCCACTTTGGCTGGAGCCCAACATCCTGACTGTGTGCCCCTGTGACCAAGGCCTCAGGGTGCCCAGGGCAAGGCTGGGCCCAAACACTGGGGCCCCCCAAGGCTTCCCAAACCCGGATAGCCACCAGAACTGCCAGGTAGGATCCTGATCCTGATACAGGCCACTTGGCTGTGGCCCAGTACTGGCTCTACACGTGCTGAGGGCAGGTGCTTTGGAGTCACCTCTCCTGCACCCACTAGGGGCCTCCCTCTGCCTTCCTGATACCATGCTTCTGGGTCTGCCTGCCCGCTCTGGCTGCTTCCTCATCTTTTTTTTTTTTTAATTTATTTATTTAAGTAATCTCTACACCCAGGGTATCTGGGTGGCTCAGTTGGTTAAGCATCTGAGTCTTGATTTTGGCTCCAATCTCAGGATTGTGAAATCAAGCCCTGAGTCAGGATCTGCACTCAGCGGGGAATCTGCTTGAGATTCTCTTTCCTCTCTCTCTCCCTCTGCCCACTCGCACTCTCTTTCTCTCTCTCCCTCAAATAAATAAATAAGTCTTAAAAAAAAAAAAAAACTCTACACCCAATGTGGGGCTTGAACTCATGATCCCGAGATGAAGAGTTGCACGCTTTTCTGAGTTAGCCAGCCAGGTGCCCCTCATCCTTCCTTTTCTACGCTGCAGCAGAAGACCCTGAGACTCTGGATGACCTTGACTCCCCATGCCTCAGTTCCCCATCTGTAGCATGGGATCATAACCATGCTTCCTTGTGGGACCGGTGCATAACCTTGAGGTTATGTGCATTGAAAGAGCTTGGTATGGCCCCTGGCACTTAGTAACCACTCAGCAAGTGGTAGATATGATCACTGTGATTATCAATGTTCTCACAGAGCCTGGCCCTGGAACGCTAGCCTCCCTGCTATGGCCCAGACCATGCTCTCACCACAAATCATCCTGAGGCAGCCCAGGTCTCTTGTCAGCTTCACCATCTACTCCACCTGACCCGTCCAGCCTGATAACAATTCACAGCGCCCACACCCCACATCTGGTCCCAGGACAGCTCCCCCGGGCTCCTCTGCCCCCTCCTGCCCCTGGCTCACCCCCTGTCCAGGTCTCTGCCCCCCCGCCATCTCATTCCAGATGCCTCCATCCCCGCCCACGGCTCTCCCCTCCCCTCCAAGGGGGCAGGCTGGCTGCCCAGATCCTCGTCCAAACGCCCATGGCCACCTCTGCGCACTCACAGTGTTGCCATGACTGGGGTACTGGGAACACTACTTAGTGTTTGGTGCCAGTCAGATCCGAGTTCAAGTCTTCTCTCTACCACTGACTACCTGTGTGACCTCAAGCAGGTCTTGTCCCCTCTGAGCCTCAATGTCCTCATCTGGTAAGTGGGGAAAATAGTGCCTCCCACACAGAATCACTGTGGCGATTAAACAAGGCCACACCTCAGACTGCCTTCCCTCCCCTTGCCCACTTCTCTGAGTTCCACCCCTTACACGTCGCCGTTTGAGGACAGCAGCTGCTGGGGCTTCTCTGCAGCTCTGCTCTCCTCGCCGTGGCCAGCCCCCAAATGGTGCCCAGCAGCTCTCCTTCGCTCTCCTCTGCCATGTGCTTTCACGCTCAACTCCATCATCCCCTCCAACTGACCGGCACACCATCAGTTCTTCTACCCTGGATTTAAATAACCTGGAGGGCGCCTGGGTGGCTCAGTTGGTTAAGCGACTGCCTTCGGCTCAGGTCATGATCCTGAAGTCCCGGGATCGAGTCCCACATCGGGCTCCCTACTCAGCAGGGAGTCTGCTTCTCCCTCTGACTCTCTTCCCTCTCGTGCTCTCTCTCTTTCTCTCTCTCTCAGATAAATAAATAAAATCTTAAAAAAAAAAAAAAAACTGTTTAAATAAATCTGGAGCCCCTTCCCTGTCAACTCCCGCCCATTCCTCTGCCCCCTTTGAGCTGTCTATACGCGTGTGCAGTCTTCCTGTCTTCTCCTCTTGTCTCTCTCAAGCCCCTCGAGTCAGGGTTTTCTTCACTATGCCACACACTGCCCCGTTCCGGCCCCCAGGGGTGGCCGCCTCACTCGGCCCAGCAGTGTTCGTTGGCAGACCCTTCCCTTGGCCTCCAGGATGCCCCCCCAGCGGGTTCTCCACCAGCCTCCCAGCTGCTGCTGCTTCTTCGTCTCCCTGACTCCTCTAAGCACAGACAGCAAGCGCTGGGCTCAGACCTGTGTGTCTACCCGCGCCCCCTTGGCAACCTCCGGCACCATACCATCACTGACCTGGTGACCCCCAAATCCGGATCTCCTACCTGGCCCTCTCCTGACCATGCCTCCCCAACACTACATGTAGGGGTCTTGCAGACATCTCACATGTGAGCTGTCATATTGCCCCTTGACCTGTCCCTTCTCTGTTAATGGCACCTGCAACTTTCCAGGTGCTCAGGTCCAAACCTGGGGGCGTTTCTCATAGCCATGCCCATCAGCAAACCCTGTTGGCCCGAATTTCAACCACTCCTCCCCACTTCTGCATGGCCCCGCCTCACTCACCTGGACCAGTGCAGTCAGCTCCTCCCTGGTCTGCCATCTCCGGCCCTCCCCTCCCACAGCCTCAACATCAGAGTCCATGTGCTTCTTTTCATTTGCTTGTTAACATTTTAAGATGTAAAAAGAAAAATTCAAACACATACAAAGCTAGAGAGAAGAGTGAACCTCCTGGAGACCATCATCGGCATTAAAGACTGCCAACTCTTAGCCAACCTTGTTTCAGTGCATCCCCTGCCCAATCCTCCTGCCACACACACCCTGGAGAGTGCTTCTGTTAAAATATAAGCCAGGTATGGGACCTCTCTGTCCAAAATTCTGCACTTAAAAAAAGCAAAACAAAACAAAAAAGCCAAAAAACCCTATCAGGCCTCCCACTTCACTGGGAGAAAAAACCAGAGCCCTCCATGCAGTCCACAAGGCCCTGTCACCTTCCTGTCCTTGCCTTTTCCCACTCTTCATCCTCATTGTGCTCCAGCCACACGGGTCTCCTCGCTACCCCATGTTCACACCAGGCTGGGTCCTGCCTCAGGGCCTTTGCACCTGCCATTCCTTCTTCCTCAAACACTCTTCCCCCAGATATCTGCAGGGCTCTCCCTGGCCTCCTTTAGGTCTGTACCCCAGATGCCAGCCTCTCACTGTGGCCCACCCTAACACCCTACCTAAACCTCCGGCACCCCCTCCTGAGTCCTCTTTCCCTATTTCACTTTTTTTCTTTACATAGCCCCTATCAATCTCTCACACACTACATAATTTATTCATTATGGTAAATAATAGTAAATGTATAGTAATGCAGTAGACAAGCCTTTGCACAGTGGACAAGTCTCTGCCCTCTAAATGGCATCTCCATAAAGCATTTTCTGTTGTTCACTGCTGCACCATGAGCACCTATATGAGTGCCCAGCACATAGCAGGTGCTGATTAAGCACTCCTTAAATGAATGGACACTGGAGACTCCACTATTGACCACTGTTTCCCTTTTCCCACTGGCTGCTAGGATGGCTCTGAGGCAAATTCAGGGCCCCTTCTCCATTCCCACTTCTTCATGTCTTTTGAACCCCTCTGGTCAGGTTTTTAACTCACCATGCCACAAAACTGCCCTTGTCATGTCCCCTGTGACTTAGGCCTTAATCTAATAGCACCGATCCTGGCCCCGCTGTGCCCCTCCTTTTCCTTTCTCTTTTCTTTCTTTCTTTCTTTTTTTTTTTTTAACTTATTTATTTATTTGAGAGAGAGAGAGCACACAAGTGGTGGGGAGGGGCAGAGGCAGAGGGAGAAGCAGATTCCCTGCAAAGCAGAGAGCTCGACGTGGGCCTGATCCCGGGGCCCCGAGATGACAACTGGAGCCAAAGGCAGATGCCCAACTCACTGAGCCATCCAGGCGTCCCTCCTCTCTCTTTTCATCCCACTTTTCGTTTCTGTCTTCTGGTCCATGTTGTGCATAGTCTTGAACTGAAATCTTTCCAGGTACAAGACAGTTACAAAGAATTTTGAAGAGCTGAAATAAGTGACCCCCTATCTCTGGTCATGTCCATTTCCACAGGAGATGCCTCACTCAGGGTAGTGTATTTTCCTGACTACCCATGTGTCCCGGGGCCCGGTTATTGCCATGCACGGCCTGGGTTGTCTCAGTGCCCTGGCCCCAGTTCTGCAGGACTACACAAACTGAGCTTCTGCAAATACCACTTTCAGCTTAGGGACCTCCAGGGGCTCCCTCTGGCCAGTGGTTCTCAACTCCAGCTGCACGTGTCTCCCGGAAGCTTTGTAGTAAAAAGCACAAGGTCTGCAACTCTACTCAGATTAACTGAATCAGTAACTCCAATAAGGGGGTGGGGCCCTCCTGGGTGGCTCAGTCAGTTAAATGTGGGACTCTTGATTTCAGCTCAGGTCATGATCTCAGAGTTGTGAGATCGAGTTCCACAACGGGTTGAGCTGTGCTGGGCATGGAGCCTGCTTAAGATTCTCTCTCCTTGGGCGCCTGGGTGGCTCAGTCGTCTGCCTTCGGCTCAGGTCATGATCCCAGGGTCCTGGGATCGAGTCCCGCATTGGGCTCCCTGCTCAGCAGGAAGCCTGCTTCTCCCTCTCCCACTCCCCCGCTTGTGTTCCTGCTCTCGTTATCTCTCTCTCTGTCAAATAAATAAATAAAATCTTTAAAAAAAAAAAAAAAGATTCTCTCTCCTTCTCACTCTGCTCCCCCTCCACCCCCACCCCCTGTCCCCACTTGCACTCTCTATCTCTCTGTCTAAAAAAGAAAGAAAGAAAGAAACTCCAATAATGGAACACTAGCTTGAGCATCTCCTGCTCCACTCTTGGGCATATAAGCCAGCCTGCCACCCCAGGGAGGCGGTGGGTGCAATTCAGAAGGATCTGGTTGATCTTTGACCCTTAGACTCTCCCCCCAGAGAAACATGCCAATGTGTGCAAATAAAAACCAGGGCACAACAAGGATTCTGTCGCAGCATTGCTTGTGACAGAGAACAAATATCATCATAACAACTAATACCTGGAGTGCTCACTATGTGCCAACCATGTTCTAAGCCTTTTGCTGTATTTTAACTCATTTAATTGTCACACCAACCTATTAGGCAGGAAGGGAAAAATTGCATCCACACTCCTCATTCTCAAGACTGAGACTCTGCAAAGGCCTCTGCCCTCTACCTGAGCAGCTAACTTGGGACTTCCTCTTCACCTGAGTCTCCATGGGCTAAGGTGCTCCCCAGGAGCCAACAAGAGGTTTAAAGGAATGCGATCTGGATTGTGAGGAGTCTTCCTATGTCTGGGGTCGAGGGTTGTGGGAATGGGGCCACACACAGCCCCAGATGGAGTGCCAGAACCTCACAAGGGACAGGGCTGGGTGGCCCAGTGTATCCAGTTCACAGCCCCAGGCTACACAGTAGGGGTTTTAGAGGATGAGGCATGTGAGATCCCAAGGACCAGCAAGGAAGAAGGGGCATTAAGGCCTCAGGAGGCTGGGCCGCCCCTCCAGGGACTAGGCAGTTAGAACGCTTGGACGTGGGGCCCGAACTAGGATTGGGCAGCCAGAAATCTAGCGGGCGGGGCCAAGTGCTAAGAGGCGGGTTGAGAGGCTGGGCGCATCCTAGGATTGGGCAGTCGGAAAGACGGGAGGCGGGGCCGCGAGCCAGGCGCGTCCCAGGACCGGCGGCAGAAGACCCAGGCCGGCAGGCCGGCCACTGGGCGGGGCTCACAGGTGCCGGGGGCGGGGCCGGGGGCAGAGGGGGCGGGACCAGGCTCGGCGGGGAATGGAGGCGTCTCCGCCCTCGTTCGCTCCCTCCCTCCCTCGGGCCGGGCCCCCTCACCCGTGGCGGCCGCTACGCTGGCCGCGCTCCAGCGAGATGAGATAGGCTGCGAGCTTGGCGTCGCTCCAGCCGCTGCGGCGCCGCAGGTCCACCCAGGGCCCGTGCGCCTCGCCCAGGTACACACGCCGCACGTCGTACTTCTTCCGGGACTCGAGCCGCCGCCGGGCTCTGTCGGACTCCGTGAGCCGCGGCCGACCCCGCGCCTTGCGGCCCGCCGCGCCCTCCTCGGCCGCCGCCTCCCCGCCTGCGCCCGCCTCAGCCTCCGCCTCCGCCTCGGGCTCCGGCACCCGCTCCGCCATCCCCCCCTCCCTGGTTACCAACCTCCCCCGTTGTTAGGAGCCCGGCCGGAAGTGGCGCGCATCTTCCGCGCCGACGGGAAATTTCTCACGGACTTTCACTGCCCCACGGCGCCAAGAGGAGACCGAGAGCAGAAACTGCGCATGCGCATCACAAGCGCTACCAACAACCCATTCTTCCCTTACTCCTTTTCTCTGTTAAACTTTCTAACTTCGCGGAGACCGAGGGAGGGGCTTAGGTTTGAGGCCAGCCGCGGGAAGAAAGACCTAGATGAGCCCGTAGACCCTGGGAGGTAGGGGCTCCTCTCTCCACGCCTCATCCTGAATGCATCCTGGATGACAAGGGAAGGGGACGAGCTGTCAGGTGAAGGCAGAGGGAAAGCCTGGGGTCCAATCTGTCCGTCCCGGATGCTGCAAATCCCTTGAAAAGCCAGGCCACCAAGTATTAAAGGTACAGAGACGCCACAATGCCAGAGAAGAGAGAAGGCAGCCCCAAGACGCAAAACTTTTATTTGCTGTACACTCAAAAGGCATCTCACGCTATCACACCAGTCCACAGCTTGTGCAGGTGATCGCTAAAGCTCAGCTCTGGCCCTGCTGCTGTCGCTGCTGACTGTCCTCCTCTTCCTGGCCCTCTGGTGGGGGCGGCTCCTCCAGCCCTGAGGAGGACGCCAGGAGCTCCCCGGTGGACCCCGCCAGGCGGAAGACCACGGGGATCTGGGCCAGGGCTGGATTGGTCTCCTGCAAGCCCTGGATCCACTTGGCCAGTGTAGCTTGGTCGTGGGCACCCGCCATGCATATGGCAAAGACAGGACCTTCCTCCACTGTTGGGGAAACAGGTGCTCAGTTTGTGCAGTGGGGACTGGAGGAGCACCTCCCATGCCTGCACCCCTTCCAGGCCACAGGTGGGATTTTTCTTGTGCATCCAAGGCTTTGCACAAGATATCCCATCTACCTAGACTGCTAACCCCATGCTTCACCTGAGCAATGCCTCCTGGGTCTTCAACATTCCACTAGGAAGTCTCCCCACATCCCACCCACGCTGGATGGTGTGCTCCTCCCTTGAGACCCCAAGAATATAACTTAACTTGCCTGTTCCCCCACTGCCCAGAGCTGCTCAAGGGGAGGAGCTTGGCCTGTCCTGGTCACACTCAGTAGCCAGCACAGAGATGCTCCATGACCAAGGGCTGACAGGCCTGGAGCCCTTGGGAGTACGTGTGTGTGTGTGTGTGTGTGTACGTGTGTGTACTTGGACATCTACTGGGTCTGCATGTGGGGTACATGTGTGTGTGTGTACGTGTGCGTACTTGGACATCTACTGGGTCTGCATGTGGGGTAACTGGGCTGGGTCTCAGCCTGGGTGCCACCCTTCCACCCCAGAGGCCTCATTATGTCCAGTGTTTGGAAACCTGCCCATCCCAGTTTTACCTTTATGGATGTCAAACTCGTAGTCATCCCAGCTGCTCCTCCCGTAATCCAGGTCCAGCTGCATCGGGTAGTGGAGATTCCATTCCTCTGGAATTTCTTCCACTTCCTACCCCAGGGAGGTGGGTACAGCAGGGTCAGAGGCCCAGAATCTTGCAGCCAGCTACAGCCTACCTCCCGAAACCAGGAGCTATCCCTTCCCCTTCTGCCTGCCCCTCTGAGACCTAACATGAGCCCTCAGGGTGGTGCCAACAACCCCCCAAACACACCCATACCCCCCCCCCCACTCACGCTTTGGGCCCTTACCCTCTCCTCAGGGGGCAGCAAGTCAGCTCTGAGGATGTGATAATAGACACATTTGTCTCGGAGCCACAGGGAAAAGGGGCCCTCGACGAAGATAGGCCGGGCTGGGTTGTGGTGGGCCAAGGCAGCCTGCTGATCAGGAGTCTGGATTCCTGGTGTGGAGACACACATGCCCAGGGGGCCCTGGCTGATGGACTCTGCTCAAAGGCCCAGGGAGACCACCCAGCAGGCCTGGTGGGAATCCAGCCCCCCCATGCCAGAGCCTTACCTACAATGTGGGGCTCGGTGGGATCTGCTGTACCTGTGGAGTCTTTGGAAGACGGCATCTGCAAGGAGGAGGAGGGGTGGAAGCTTGTGACCCCCAGCCCCTATAGAAAAGCTGGGGAGAAAAATGGGGGAAGGGGATCCCAGCGAATTCAGGGCTCCTCTTGGTCTCCTACCCATCACTCAAGCCCATCCGTTCCTTACTTCTATCCAATTTGGCACTAGCTGCCGTCATTTAAAATGTGTACACAGAGGGAACCTTAGAGCCTGACTTTGTTAAAATCCGGGATCTGCCACACAGGCTGTGTGACTGTGGTCAAGTCGATGTACCTGTGTGCCTCAGTTTCTCCAGATGCAAAATGGAGATAACACCACTTAATTCAGATGGTTCTAAAATGCCGAGAACAGTGCCTGGCACATAGTAAATGCTCCATGCTTGTGAAGTTTTAAAAAGAAAAATAATTTCACATGCACAGTATACTCCAAGAAGGAGACACAAGAAGCAAATCAGCAAACCCACGACCCTGAGATCAAGACCTGAGCTGAGATCAAGAGTCGTACACTTAATTGACTGAGCCACCCAGGCACCCCAATACTGATTTTTCATTTTAAATTTCACACTATGGATTTCTTTTTTTACATCTGTTTGTATATTTTTCTCACACTAAAAATCTTGGTTCCTATCAATAGTAATACATTTACTTATCTGTCAAACTACAGAAATAGTTTTGATATTACTGTTAACCATACTGCTGTGGGATTAAGCTTAGGATTTCCCCACAGGTATGTTTGTTCTTAGAATAGATGCCACTAAGGGTGGGCAGTTGGACAACTGACTTGGAAGAACTTTTTCTCTCACTGATTATACTATCAATTTGATATTTAACCATATCCATTTGTTTCTGTTTGTTTTCAATTTTAGGGGAGTTACCCCCCCTTTGAATTAAAAAATACATGTAAACATTTTCATAGTTTAAAAGTCAATCCAGGGTGGGGGGATGGGTTAGCCTGGAGATGGGTATTAAAGAGGGCACATTCTGCGTGGAGCACTGGCTGTTATGCACAAACAATGAATCATGGAACACTGCATCAAAAACTAATGATGTAATGTATGGTGGTTAACATAACAATAAAAAAATTATTAAAAAAAAAAGTCAATCCATATTAAATAGCTGTCTCTCTTCCACTCCTGTTCTCTCTACCCCATCTCCTCCGCCTGCCCAGAGATAATCATTTCTACCCATTTCAGATTCATCTTTGCATTATTTATTTTTGTGAAAATAGGCAAATAGGTACATGCACTTTTATTTCCCCTACTTCTCACACTGAAGGGAGCTTACTGTACCACTGAAAATACTTCAACTTTTCACTTGCCCTTTTTTTTTTAAAAAGATTTTCTTTATTTATTTGAGAGAGAGAGAATTAGAGATAGAGACATTGAGAGGGAAGAGGGTCAGAGGGAGAAGCAGGCTCCTGGCTGAGCAGGAAGCCCGATGCAGGACTCGATCCCGGGACTCCAGGATCATGACCTGAGCCGAAGGCAGTCGCTTAACCAACTCAGCCACCCAGGCGCCCGCCCTTTTTTTTTTTTAACCAATCTGACTGAAGTGTTAGAATCTACGTAGACAATGCCCTCTCTTGATGGAGTCTTGGATTGTTCCTATTCTAAATCTAGGTAGTGTTGGTGATCATTTTACCATGTTTTCAACCTTTCTGTACGTAGTTTTCATAATGAGGGGAAACAAGAATACATATAAAGGATATATCTGCTTGCAAATGCATAGGATCTCTTTGGAAGGAGACACAGATGTGGTCACTTCTGGGGAAGGAGCCTGGGGACCGAAGGGCCAGGCTAGGAGAGGAGAACTCTTCATTGTGTGTACTTGAGGACTATGTGGCTTCTAATGCTTTACTTCCCAAAATGTAGAAATGAGTTAAAGACTACCGTTCCTCTGCGGTGTGCTCCAGGCCAAGCCTCTGTCCTTTCTCACCCGAACACCCCGTTACCTACTGTCCTAATCCCTCGGGCCTCTGCCCACCCACATTCAGTACCATCCACGCGGCCACCGGAGGGTGCTTTTGAAACAGAAACTCCTTCCAGAAACATGACTCCCACCCCATCCTTCCTCTTCTTAAAACTTCCCGGTGGCTCCCTCCCCACCAACCAGTTCAAACCACACTCTAGCTTGGTGCCTCTGTGCCCCTTCTCCCCCAGCCTGACCCCCTGCACTGGCCAGAAGAAGCCCTTTCTGCATCTCCCAGCTGCCCTCTGAACCCCAGCCCATGCTGCTCCCTCTGCCTAGAATGCTCTCCTCGCCTGTCTTGTCCCGCCTGAGTGCAGTTCACCCTCACCTCCTCCAGGAAGCCCTCCCTTCCTCTTGCCCCTTCTGGGCTCCCACAGCCCCCAGTGCTTCTCCATCTCAGAAGCAGCAGCTCTGAGAGAAACTGTTACCTGGGGTCAGCCTCCAGGACCACAGGATCCTCCATGTGGTCTGGCATGAGTGGGGCCCCTAGGACATCAGGGCGTGTGTGTGCGTGCATGTGTGAACTGTTTCATTCAGTCATTCAACAAACAACTGCTGAGCTCAGCTTTGTGCCAGACTCTGTGCTGAACCTTGGGAGACACAGGGGAAACTGAGTCATGGTAAATGAGCAACCAAGCCAGGCACCCCGTGCCTCAGCCAGGGTGGTCAGGATGGGGATCCTGAGGAAGGGACAGCATAGATGAGATTGAAGAACATGAAGTCCCAGGGAGGAGTGGTCCTGGCAGAGGGAGCAGTAAGCACAAAGGCCTGAGAAGTAAATTGGCATAGAATGCTTGGGAACCGGGGCACTTGGGTGGCTTAGCCGGCTGAGTGTGCAACTCTTGATTTCGGCTCAGGTCATGACCTCGGGGTCCTGGGATCAAGCCCTGCACTGGGCTCTAAGCTCAGCATGGAGTCTGCTTGAGATTCTCCCTCTCCCTCTCCCCCGCCCCCTCAAATAAATAAATAAATAAAATCTTAAAAAAAAAAAAAAGGAAGGCTCATGGTCCAGAAAGGAAGACAGATCCCAGAATATACAGTGTGGGGAGAGGGGCAGGAGGAGAGGTCAGAGGTCAGAGATCAAGCTGCAGTGAGGAGTGAGGGCCACAGGAATCTAGTGAGGG